GTAGGGCAGGGGCGGGGCCCGGCCCGTTAAAGGGGCAGAGGCTCCTGTTTGCGCCGGGAGAGGGGATGCCTGGCAGGCAGGGATGGCGGGGGTGGGGTGAGGAGGTGGCGAGGGCGTTAGGAACCAGGCTCGGTCCGGGAGGGGCCGGAGCTTGGGCGGCCGCGCGCTGAGTCAGCCGAGAGGCGCGCGGCGGCTCCAGCCTCTCCGGCCTCCGCCTTGGGGCTCCCTCGGAGGTGTCTCTTCCCACGTCCCCCACTCTTCGCCTCCCGATGGGTCCTACCTGCGGACTCCCGGATTCGTTGTGCCCCCCACCTAAGTGCCCTCGAAGACCAAATCTCGTTGTGGCTTCCCGGGTGCGACGGGGAGCGCGCGGGGAACGCCGCGGGCACTTGGGGCGCGGGAGGAGGGCAGGTGTGGGAGCGGGGGCCGCACGCGCGCTGGGCCGGGGCGCCGAGCACCTCCGGCCTCTCCTGGAGGACCCCGAGCTCCTTTGGGGAGAGCCAGTAATCGGTGGCCTCGTGTTTCTTAGAATTTCGGTATTTTCAAATCGGTGTAGAGCAGATCCGTGACTCAACTTGGGCCAACTGAGGCGGCGTGAGTTTGGGGCTGCTGTTGTGCCCCCGACAGAGGACCACCAGCGAGGGACCCTGTCCCTCCACTCTGCGCCTAGGAAGCCTGTTCTCACACTCTGTGCCCCCCCCCCAAGGCGGGAGAAGGGAATCTCCGCGGGAGACACGTGGGGCCTCCCTGAAGCCTTCGGAGGATCCCGGCCGCCTCGTTTCCCGTGGACGCTTCACCCACCCGAGCGCAGGAAACTGTGCCTGGAGCGTGTCAGGGAAGGGAGGTGGGGGGAGATTTAAGCGGCTTGGTGACCTTATGACCTCTGGGCGAGGACCCGGGAGCTGGGTGTTTGTGAACTCCGCGCCCTTCCCCTGGATGGGACCCCTGGCCGGGCGGGCCCCTTCTCCTTAGACCCGCCCCTGCCGCCGCCCGGCCCGGTGCAGGCCGCTGTAATCGGGTTAGCTGGGTCGGAATTACATTACCTTCCCGGCCCGCCCCGGCCCCGGGGGGGCCCTGGCGCCTCCAAGCCGGTGAGACTGGGCGCAGGGAGGGGGATGTTCTTAGCATCCCGCGGCGGGTTGGCACTGATGAGCAGCTTGGCCTGCCTGGGACACGTGGTGGCCAAAGGACCCCACCCCATGTGCCAACCCTAAGCCTCAACCCCAGCCCACTGCGCGCTCAGGTCCAGGCTGCCCATGACCCTGTGGGAGCCAGCATGCCTTCTAAGTCTAGTAAATGGGTCTCCCTAGGAGCGCGCATCTTCCAGTTGGCTCTCCAGGATCTTCTGGGAAAGGCTCTGCCCCTTCCTTCTCCCCAGCAGATGGGCTGGCAGCCTGGTGCCTGGGGCAGGGTGAGGGGGTCTTTTCTCTCTAGGGAATGGAGGAATGATATTTGGGCATCTGGGCAGGAAGATAAAGAAGAGAAAAAGGGAGTGGGCTCTCTACCCACCCAAAGCCACCAGCCCCTCAGTGTTCTGCAAAGCCTCAGTCTGAAGGCTGGAGGAGGGAGGCAGTGAGCTTTGATATGTGACATCCTTCCCCAACCTCCTTCACACCCATCATCCAATTTCTCCAGCCCTTCCCCCAGCCTGCCAACAGCCCCTTCTGAAAGGGCGCTAGGAGGCTTCTGCAAATTTGACAGTTGTGTTTTTATCTTGGTGGAGGAGACAGACATTATGGAAGCTTAGCCCTTCATGGAAGCCCAAGCACCCTTTCTCAGCAATAGAGGGATGGGGCTACTAGGGGCCATGAAACCTGCTATTCAGGTAAAACCTTCAGAGATAGCAGGGCTGGATCCCTCCAGATGTGAACAGAGAGGCTAAGGAGACAGCAAAGTAAATAAGCCTTGGGCCCTGGCCAGGCAGCTCAGTTGGTTAGATTCCCNCTCTCCCCCCCCTTCCTCTTTCTCTTTAAAATCAATAAATTAAATTTTTTTGCCAGGCCAGTCGTGGCTCAGTGGTTGAGCATCGACCTAGGATCCAGGCAATCAGGGTTTGATTCCAGGTCAGGGCACATGCCCAGGTTGTGTGCTTGATCCCCAGTTGGGGCCGTGCAAGAGGCAGCCAATCAGTGACTCTCTCATCATTGATGTTTCTATCTCTCTCCCTCTCCTTTCCTCTCTCTGAAATCAATAAAGATATTAAAAAAAAAATTTTTTTTAATACATAAATAAAGCCTCTGAAGGGGACTGGCTTGCAGGTTAGGAGTTTGTCAGTTCCTTTCCCCACTCTAGGGGGTGGACCTCTGTCTGAGAAGAGGGTGGGCACTAGTATGTCTCCAACCAAACTGAATAAATCCTGGAATGCATTAACGAGTGAATCAATGAAGGAGAAAACATCAGCATGGTATACACCTGTGCACCTGCCTTTTGAGGTCAGCACAGATGACACTGCCACCCAGAGATTGTCTAACTGATACTTTGAGGAAAATGGCCACAAACCAGTAGTACATACAAATCTTCTAGGGAGTTAAAATATATATTTATTTCAGTGCCCCACTTCAAGAACGAAGGACCTCCACCTCTGTCAGCCTCAGTCCTAGGAACTTCTCTGCTTGCCTTCACCTTGCTGATTCTCTGGTTCCCTGGAAAGGGTGGTTCCTGCTAATTTATGTTGAAGATGGAGACTCTGCGGTCAGCAACCCCACCTCCCATACACACTGCTTTGGATTCATCTCACTACCTCCTATGTGCATGTGGCCCCCCAACTCTTCAAGTTTTCAGATGTCGAGCCTGCACCTTCACAAGAAGAGGCCGTGTACCCAGCCCATGCTTCTGTCCTTCCCTTCCTTCCTGCTGTTGGCGTAGTGTCCTTCCCTTGAGATGGTCCCCCAACTCATTTCTCTCATTAACTTAGTTCTCCCTACCCCAACTGTCTTATTATCTAGACAAAGTCTTTACCTGACTCTTCACGAAAAATTGTTTTCTTTTCCCTTTTAGTGCCCACACCCACTGCCTCCATTTCCTCATTATTTATTCTTTTAACCCACTGCAAGCCGGCTTTACTACACAGACCCTTTCTCAGCTTAGTATCCAGTGTCCATTATCCATGAATCTCTAATATGTTTTACTTTGGTGTTTTGTTTTGTTTTAAATATATCTTTATTGATTTCAGAGAGAAGAAGGGAGAGGGAAAGAGATCGAAACATCAGTGATGAGAGTCATTGATTGGCTGCCTCCTGCACACCCCCAATTGGGGACTGAACCCCACAGCCCGGGCATGTGCCCTGACTGGGGATTGAATGGAGATCTCCTGTATCCTAGGTAGATGCACAACTGCTGAGCCACACCCGGCCGGGCCATGTTTTACGTTGTTGACCACCAACTATTTCTTGAAATGTCCCTTCTTTTGGCTTCCATAATACTGTCTTACTCTACATTTTTGGACTTTCATAGTGACTGCTTATGTTTTTCCCTCCACTGACTTTTCTTCTTCCACTATAGACTGTGAGCGGTCTTCAGAGCTCAGACTTCAGCTTTCTCTCTCTCTACATCTGCTCAGGTTTCATCCTTCTCAATAGCTCCATCTATTACATTCACCCAGAAAACTCTCAGACCTCCATCCCTGGTTCAACACTTGTGCTCCAGCCCCACCATTCTAGCCTTCTGGCCAACTCCACCTGCCTTTGCTGCCAACAGGCTGGAAGACAGGCTCCCCTCCCAAGCTCCTTACTCACTTCCTCCTATTGTGATTTCCTTTGAAATATTTCATATACAGCCCTTCCCTTCCATTTCCACTGATAAAAGCCTAATCTAGGCCATCATCACTACCACCTACATTCATTCATTTGTTCATCCAGAAAAAAAAATTTTTTTTTAAATATATCTTTATTGACTTCAGACAGAGGAAAGGAGAGGGGGAGAGAGAGGTAGAAACATCAATGATGAGAGAGTCATTGATCGAGCCCACAACCGGGGCATGTGCCCTGACCAGGAATCGAACCCTGATCGCCTGGATCCTAGGTCGACGCTCAACCGCTGAGCCACGCCTGGCCAGGCCATCCAGAAAAATTTTGATTGAACACCTACTCTGTACCTGCCACTGGAGATATAGATGTATAAACACAACAGGGGAAAAGAAGTCCCTGCCACTGAGCTTACATTTTAGTGGGGGAGGCAGATGTAAAACAAGAAAAATATACAGTATAGTAAATAATAATAAATGCTAATAATAATAATAAAGCAAGGAAGGGGGAGGGAGAAGTAAAAAGGTGGGAAGCTGCGATTTATCTAGAATGATCACAAAAGGCCTTGTGGAGTAAAGGCCTGAAGAGAGAAAGGAACCATTTGGACATCTGGATGTTTCAAGTTGGGTACAGGGTGAGAGTCCATCCTGGTGTCTCTGTGGAACAAACAGTGAGGGGTCCAGTGTGGCTAGAGAAGTTGAGTGACTGTGAGAGACCATGCAAAACCTTGAAGACCTTGTAAGGACTTTGCCTTTTACTCTGACTTAAAAGGCAAGTTATAGGAAAGGTTATAAACCAAAAAAAACTAAGACACCCAATTTTTAAATTTTATTTTTAATAGTTTTCTTAAGGTAAACCTGCATACAATAAACTGCACCTATTTAAAGTGAACCATGTGATGTTTTGACATATGCATACAGCCAGGAAACCATCCACACACTCAATAAACGTATCCATCAAATCAAAAAAACGTCCGTTGTATCCTTTGTTATTCACGTTTTACCAGAATTACTCTGAGCTGCTGTGTTGAGAATATGCTAAAGAGGGGCAGCTGTGGAAGCGAGGAAAGCAGGCAGAAAAAACCACAGCTCATCCACAGGGTAGACAAGGGCGTCTTGGACCAAGGAGGTAAGCGGTGGCTGTAGTGAGTAGCTGATTTAAAAATCACTACTCGCAGAACGTCTTGCGGCTTATCCACTCCAATTCACTCTGAACATAAATGAACAAAAATGTTTCTTTCATAGGGTAACCCTCTCTCTTCAGAAGAGTCCGCGAGCTCTCTACGGCCCACAGGCGGAAAGTCCCAGCTCCGTAAGGCCCTGCTTCTCCTACCGCTGCTCGCAGTCTCACACCTTGGCCCCCCTCCTGCTCCCCTGCAGCCGCTGCCCTCCCCTTCTGTCTGTACCCCTCTTCTTGCCCACCCCAACTCTAAATCGTGCCCACACCGTCCCTCTTCCTTCGGAAAGCCTTTCGAGGTCTCCACTGGGATCTCTCTCTTCTTTAATCTCCAGCTGCCCTTGGTGTGAATCCTCCCCAGGAAACTTACCCTTGGTTTTTTTACTCCTAGCGTAAGGACCTAGGGACAGTACAAGCTCCCCGGACCCCTGCGTCCTCCCCAGGAGCGGCGCTGAGCTCAGGCGGCCGCGGGGCTCGCGGCCTCGGCGTCCTCCCCTCCTCCTTCGGCATCTGCTCTGCATTAGTCTGTCCCAGGCCTCCGCAGGCGCCGGTGATTGAATCATCATCGTCATTAACCAGGGCCTGCCCCCCCATCCCCGGCG